AAATCGAGATTCCTGTTTGGACCGACAAAATAAGGTCAAGCAAATCAAAATAAGTTGCATGTTTTAGCGAATTTCATATAGTTTTCGAATATAGGTATAATTGGATCCTTACGCAAATATATGTAATTTTTGATTTTCAGCTTCTTTTTGCATAATTTCGCGAAAAGAAATTTTTCGAACAATGGAAAAATCTCACCAAACATAACACCCCTATTCTGCAACTCTTTCGTATTCGGATTTTGCTACGAATCGTAGAAATAGTATGCTGCAATCCGAATCGTATTTTCGAACTTTCAAAATTCGTAACAATGGCATGCCTAAAACCGAGCGAGTAAGCCTTTTTGAGTAATTTTGTACAAAAACAATTCTGTGTCGGAGGCGAGATAAAAGATGTAAATCGATATGTGTTTGCAGGAAATATTACTGGTGTTCATTTAAACAGATAAATTTGCCGTTCGCGTATACGTATATTTTTATGTACTCATTTATATAAACGAGCAAAAAAGAATATTTGTTGCCCCTTATCGAGATACTTGGGTCCGATTTAGTTATTTGTACAAAGATTTTCGGTTGTTGTGTCCAAACGCATAACCCGAATCCAGAAACTTTAACATACACATTTAATCAAGGGATTCAACTTTTAATTAAAATAAATCCTTCAAATTTCCTACCACTAATTTATTAATAAATTCGGTTTGCACTATGCACTTTTTTGCAAATTTCGATATGGGTTCTGCCCAAAAATACTGTTGATGGCGTAGCCGGAGTGACATGCGCAGGAAATGTTGTATACCTTTGACATGCGGAACCCCCTCTTTTCAGGCAACACAGAGAGGAGAATTCTACTTAGTAAGGGTTATAACCCCTAAGCGCGGCCGAAGGCAGAAGCAAGCGCAACAGGTGGTGGACCTAACAAAGTGCATGATTTCAATGGCTTGGAAGCAGGGTTCGGAAATTTTCATTTATGATTATTCGTTTTCATTCATTTATGAGATTTATCATGATCGATAATATTCCAAATCTATTTTTGCATTCTTTT